TACGATTAAAATGCTGCGATAATGAAGTTGTATGCAGGAGCTCTGCCGCAGAGCACAAACGGAAGCGGGGAAGCTCGAATGCTTCTAAACTACAACGTGTGCGCGATATACTTCATAACAAGACGTGCGACTGTGGTTACAAGTATATGGAAAACTATGATTGTGGACATTCAGAGGTGCAGCAAAACGAATGTAATCCATATTTTAAGGCACCCGAGGAAAATCAACCATATAAGTTTGACTATCAGAGAGTATTCCACTTCCAAAATGATGATTCTCCACTCAACGTGCAGAATGAATTTTTAAAAATTATCACTAGCGACTTGAATTTGAATAAAAACGATCCAAACACACCAAAAAATTTGAACGAAGCAATTAAGCAGTATGCTAAGAAAATATTTAAAGAAAGTGTAGCCGCTAAAAACGAAGAATTGGCAGAGCAGCAGAAGCGCAATGTAGGAACGGGACGACGATATCCATTTTTGGATGCAGAGCTAGATTACTATGATCCAGACGATGAGAAATTAATGCAGAATATGTTGAAAAATGCGCTAGAGTTCTTGGCTAACGATCCCAAATATGTGTTAGCCTCTATGCCGGATGCACACAAATTGCCCTCACTCCTGTCTTGGATTGAGACACGTTACGGCAAAGAGTATACGCGTGAGCAGCTGCGTAAGGTGCACGATGACAGTAAGGCGACTATTCATGCGCTCAAACAGATGACTGTCGATGTTATGCTACCTTCGGCCAAGCTGTTGGGCGAGGCTATAATGGTCAATTACAATTGTCGTGATTATCTCGTGAAGAAGGTTAGTGAGCGATATGAGTTCAGAGTATCGTCATTTTAATATAATTTCTTATTTTTTGATAGACTAAAAAGCTGCGCAAGGAGTATTACGATAAGGTGAATGCCTCTATTATGGATCAATCGCGTACCTTCTACATGGCAATCAAGCCGAATATTTGTGGAAATGCAAGAGACACTTTCTTCGCCTATATGCCGGCGCGCGAAGCAGATATACAACAATTCCGCATCTGGCGACCGCATGAGTACATGCCCGCCAAGGAGGAGTTCTTTACGCGAAAATGTCGTGCTATGAAGTTGGCTAGGCGTTTCTACTAAGCGAGGACATGAGTTAGACTTTTTTTGGCATTGGTGTAGTGCAGTAAGCATAAAAGATGTTTAGTATATTTCTTTAAATTTTTGTAAAAATAAATGTATAGTATAAATTAATGAAGCCAATGGGCCTTATGAATAAAAACTAAGCAATTGCTTATTCTCAAAATTCCAGATCTTTTACTCGATTTATTCAAATCAATTTACGTAAAAGGTCTGAAGTTTTAAGAAAAAGCATTTGCTTAGTTTTTATTCATAAGGCCCAATGGCTGGGCTATGAAAGAATTGCCAATTTTTTCAACAAAACGTGTAGTTGTACTGAAAAATTTTTTCGAATCCTCTTATACATAATTTTTGTGGAAGGCCATACTTTATGCAATTTAAAGAAAAATTAATAAACGTGGAAAAATCCATCGTAAAAAATAAATTATTTGCTGTAAATGCAGCAACTTTCTGCATTTTTAACAATTTCATTAAATTTATTTTGTGCAGAATCTTTATTCCTTTGTACATACAGTACAATTTCACCAAAGTCCCTCTGATCTCATATTGAA